TCTCTGTCTCCTTTCCCTCCTCTCTCTGTCTCCTTTTCCCTCCTCTCTCTGTCTCCTTTCCCTCCTCTCTCTGTCTCCTTTCCCTCCTCTCTCTGTCTCCTTTCCCTCCTCTCTCTGTCTCCTTTCCCTCCTCTCTCTGTCTCCTTTCCCTCCTCTCTCTGTCTCCTTTCCCTCCTCTCTCTGTCTCCTTTCCCTCCTCTCTCTGTCTCCCCTTTCCCTCCTCTCTCTGTCTCCTTTCCCTCCTCTCTCTGTCTCCTTTCCCTCCTCTCTCTGTCTCCTTTCCCTCCTCTCTCTGTCTCCTTTCCCTCCTCTCTCTGTCTCCTTTCCCTCCTCTCTCTGTCTCCTTTCCCTCCTCTCTCTGTCTCCTTTCCCTCACTCCTCCTTTCTCTCATTTTTACTTGACATTGTGAGTGAAAGTCATGTTGAGCTAAATAGAATTAGGTTTGAAATTGATTTTTTTTTTTTTTTTTTTTTTTTTTTTTCATTTTACCGAGTAAATTTTGATACTTTTTTATATTTTCCTATTATTTTCTCTCTTCATGGTCTTAATAAGCACAACATTCAATAAACTTTAACAAAGTAAAAGCAGGTGTTATTATTTTGACAATTTTTTAATGCAGTTTATAGTTTATTATTATTTTATCTAAATAAATGCATAGTTTTTACCCCCTTATTTTTTATTTTTATTTTTTTTTAATCCTTCAACTGAGGGGAAAAATCTTATTGTCTAAGCATCCATAAAATTGCAACACTCTTGAATATGTTTGAATTTTCTCAGAATAAAACATGCAGGTAAATGATCACCCATACTGATTAATATATGCACAATTCCCAAAATGAGTGTATCAACAGGACTCACACTGTCTACCCTCTTTGGGCTTTAACACAATTCTTTTACTCTTATATCCATACAATCATACAGATGACAGGTACCCGTCTTTGATAGATTATTTCATGCCACTTGCACCTGTAGATGCAATACAGCAAGAACTTGGAATGATTCAGGTGTCATCCCATTATTCTTTGTACACTTGATCACTGTGACGACTGCTTGATAAGCAAGTGTGCCCCTAATCTCTTAACATTCCTGGAGACCCTTTTGCTCTGATCTGTGCTGTGAACACACCATAATGACATTGCCACTGTTATTTTTAATATATATTGAGAAGCATCTGCTTTACATGGCCATCCAGAACCAAGGAATGTTCATTTGATTATTGTTGCCAACATTGAAGCACAAGAAGACTTCAACATTCAGTTATTCTCTGAAAGGATCATCCAGCTCTCTAGGGCTTATGGCCTAACTCTACTCAAACAGCTCTAACTGAATGAAAGGACCAAATGTCTGCCTCCAGGGTATAATGCCTGCTTGCCCTGGACTCTTTCATCACACTAATGCTAAAGTTCACATGCTACTGGTGCACTGGTATGAGTGTTACTGTCACAAGATGAATGAAGAATTTTAAAATTTTATCAAAATATCTCTTAACCAGAAATTTGCACAGATTGTAACCAGGTTAAAATTGGCCTTATTCTCATTCAGTGTAGATAAATTTTATTCTGCAGAATGTTAAATTATTTTGAAGAAAGTTGTGATCATTTCCTTAAAATAGTTTTTATTTTTTCCTTCAGTACAACATATATATATATATATATATATATATATATATATATATATATATGACATACCTGTTGACATTAGTAGTAGTAATTATCATTTTTAATTTGCTTATTCATGCAATCTTGGAGAGAATCCATCTCATGGATTTTTTTTCTATTTTATAATTTTCACTGTTGTTATTTACACCTTGAAAATGAAGGCAGCCAATAAAAAGTGGAATGTCTCAGCCTATTTTAAGTTTTTTCATATTTCTGCTATCTGCACATTGTCTGCCAGAATTTGCAATCGACAATGTGACTTAATTCTTTCCATAAATAAATTCCTGTTGAGTTTCATCATAATGAAATTTGAAAATCTACTTAATTGCATTGCTTTCCTTTCTCACTTTATAAATGCCAATATTGGCAATTCTGGTCTTAAACTAGACAATGTCCTTTTATAGCAGTTATTTATTAATTGTTAGATTTCCTCACAAGAAAAGTTGAGTGCTCACTTTTCATCTCTTCTATAATGGGAGGGTTAAAAAAAAAAAAAAGAAATGAATAAATTTCAGTGATTGTTCCCAGCATGATTTGGAGAATCATGTTTAGTTATAGTTGTTTACTAATTATAACCATTTCTGTTGTTGGTTCTTCTCTCTGTATTATCAGTTATGTTTTCAGTATAAAATTGACAATGGAATTTCTTGTTTGAATAAAATGGCATATTCTTAAGCTCTATCTTCCTGCATCACATTCCCTATTTTGGCTTTCCTTGTCTGATATATTCTTGGATTTATTGCCAAACTCTTTTTTAGTCAGATTAAATATTACCAAGAGACCTCTTCTTTTAAATAACTTCTTAACACTGTCCAAGTTTCTTTTCTAGAATTTCAACAATAATCATTATCATTCAAAGATATTAATGGAAGTGGTTTATGTGTGTGCAAAGCAAAAAGCAAAACATGTAAACATTAAGAGTAAAGCACAGAGAGGAATTACGAACATCTCTATGTTAATAATTATGAAACAAGCCATACTGAAAAGAGTAAAAGTGCTCAATATCAAGGATATAGCATATGTAAATATAAACGCATACACTGAAGTGAATACCCAGCAACAACAATCTGTTTCATACTTGAATGCAATTTTCAGGCCAGAAGATTGTGTTCAAGCAAGAAACAAACTGTCACCACTTGGTGTTAACCTCAGTGTCTACTTGTATACACTACTACTACTACTACTAGTAGTACTACTTTTCTGAGCAGCTCTTTATCTTCAATTTTAGTTTTTAATGAAATGTTTTGCTTATGCTTAATCACAGGTTAAGTTTATTTAAAAGCAAAATTCTCTTGAAAATCATTCCTAGTATTTACTTATATGAAAATTTTGAAGCATATTTGCCTCCTCTCTTCTGCAGCTCAAATGGCTCTCATGCCTTGTGCAAAACATGAAATTTCTGCTTGCAGAGTTAGACAAAATATTCTGTTTCAATCTTGTTGCTTTACAGAGATAGGCTGTCAGCTGTCATTTTACTATTTTTAGTGATATTTAATAATGCGTATGTATGTATAATATAGTACTCTGTATTTATTCAGCAAGCCCCCTTTTTTGTAATATCACTGGCATAAAGCAAGATTTAATGTTTGTCTTACACTACAACTTCTTACTTCAACATTAAATGTCATTTTCTTGTTCTCTTTTCATTATTTATATTGGAATTAAATGTAGATGTTTCCCCCTCTCCTTTAATATTGATACCATCATTTATTTTTTTTATATATATATATATATATATATACACACACACACACTTATCATTTTGTTTTTTTGTTTTTTTTTGTCTTAGTGAATAGTAGTAAAAATGAAATTTAAATACAAAATAGTACTTTAAACATGAAATCATTTTTTTAGAGAATATTTTTTTATGATATAGACATTTTTCTATATAATATTTCAGTATTATCAAGTTAGAATAGGTACAGGTACTGGTGCTTTTGCAGCATCTGAGCAAACATTTGGGTGGCAGAATATTTTCATTCATTTATGAGGTGGGAAGATGAAAAAAATGTCTCTTGCATATGCCCTCAAAATATGGAAATTTGTTTTATAAATTGGTCAAAGAATCTTTTTTTTTTTTTACCTTTTTTTGTAAAGGCAGATGCTCATTTATTTATTTATTTATTTTTTTATTAGTGAATTCGGAATGCTTATCATTTTCTACTTGTTTGCTTCCCATGTTTTCCTTTCTTTTCTTCCTTTATAAGAAGAATTGTACCACTTCCTATGATTGACATTTTCACTTGTAAATGTTCTAATACTGATTAATCAATACTGCAAGCCATTTTGCATGCTTATTCTATATTTCTGCAATCCATTGTTTTTAATCATTCCCCCCTACTTCTTTCTCCCCAAATTTGATGAAAATCTCCAGACATTGAAACCTTGCCTTTATAGACTTTTTAAATATTTATCTTCAAGAAATGATTAGGGAAAGCTCCTGTCCACACCTTTATATATAATTTATGTATGTATGTAAGAGAGAGCTTAAAGTGTACATTGTGCCTCAGACCCATTTAACAGTTCCTTGAAAAATTCAAATTTTTAAAAAAATTCTTTTGATAATGTACTCCTTATTTGCTTGAAATTAAGTATCTATTTCTTCAATGATAAAACCAAACCTAAATAAATAAATATTTGAATTGGTTAAAAGTTATTTCAGCTGAAAATAGGTTGCATTTCAAGCTATTTAACCTCTAAAAACAATCTGATTGTTGATATTCCAGCATTTTTCTTCCATTACTGAACAGACAAATAAACTACCTACTATTATCTTAATAATAACAAATAAAAATTCAGACAACACTGTCCAAAATACTAGCAGCAAAATGTACAATTTTTAAAAACATAGTGTCTGGCAATTAACTGACTAAAAACATTCCTTCCTTGTCTTAATACATTTTCCTTTTGTCCTTGCCATATTTTTTAATGAAAAACAAAAATACCCCCCTCATTCTTGTTTCTCAGTTTAGTTTCATATTTTTTTTTATTTCACTCATAACAGATAAATCAATTTTTTAAATTTTATTTTTTTAAAAAAATTGACATTGTTTGAGATTAAATGCCTTGGACCAAGAGTTTAGAATTCAATTTTAATATGTATTCATAAACTGTTTTTTTTTTTTTTTTTTTTTTTTTTTTTTTTTTTTTGTTTTTTTTTTTTTTTCAATTTTTTTTTTTTTTTTTTTTTCTTTTTCAATTTTTTGTTTTGGTTTTTTTTTTTTTTTCAATTTTTTTTGTTTTGGTTTTTTTTTTTTTTTTTTTTTTCTGTAATAACTTTTACCTTTCAGTTGATATAATTCAGATTTCTTTTTTCTTTTCCAGGCTACCCCTAAATACTGATGCAAGCTGCCCCCCAGAATTATAGCACAAAGATCAGTGTGTTCAGTAATTCAAAAAAAATCAAACTTGAAGTCTCCCCCTATGGCCAGCATGTAGTTCATGGCCCTTCGTCGTCATCCGTCGCTGCTCATGTTGCTGCAACCTCAAGTACACACCCAAGTCCGCATAGCACATCAAATACTTTGCACACAAACGATTTGCCTCCTCCTCAGACTGCTTGTATCTTACCATACAGTCACCGCAATGGTGGCAGCCACAACGATTATGGAGACTTCATCAACAATCGGCATCCTTCCTCCACCCATCACCTGTCAACGACAAACACTTTCATCACATCAGCCTCATCGTCGTCTCAAATAAAACGCCAAGAAACTAACTACCAGCGATGTGGTTTGAAACGTAAAAGTGAAGAGCTAATTGATGCCCCGATGCAGCTTACAGAGGCGCAGGCGGTTTCCAGTGAGGATGAGAATAATACGACCACCACCACCACCACAGCCACCACCACCACTACCACCACCACATCAAAGAACACCAATTCGTCCAACAATGATGGTGACTACCAGTTGGTGCAGCATGAAGTCTTGTACTCCATGTCTAGTGCCTATGAAGTGCTCGAGTTCTTGGGACGAGGGACTTTTGGACAAGTGGTCAAATGTTGGAAAAAGGGGACCAGTGAAATTGTTGCCATTAAGATCCTTAAAAACCATCCCTCTTATGCTCGACAGGGACAAATTGAAGTCAGCATTCTGTCACGGCTCAGTCAGGAGAATGCCGACGAGTTCAATTTTGTACGCGCATACGAGTGCTTCCAGCATAAGAATCACACATGCTTGGTTTTTGAAATGCTTGAACAGAATTTGTATGATTTCTTAAAGCAGAATAAGTTTCAACCCCTCCCATTAAAGTACATCCGTCCCATAACTCAGCAAGTTCTGACTGCCCTACTAAAATTAAAGAACTTAGGTCTAATCCATGCAGACCTTAAACCTGAAAATATTATGTTGGTGGACCCCGTTCGCTTTCCATATCGAGTGAAAGTTATTGATTTTGGATCTGCTAGCCATGTTTCTAAAGCAGTTTGCTCAACATACCTGCAATCAAGATATTACAGGTAAGTTCTGAATTTCTATTTGATCAGTTTAGCCATCAGAAATGATGTTGTGTGCTGACAATGTTCACTTCATTTTCTCATTATCTTCAATATACCCAATGCTTGTATACCAGCCAGCTAATTTTTTTTCTTTACATAAAGTTACTTATTACCCTAATATAACAAACAAAAAAAAATACAACAATCCCTGTATAAAATACAGACTGACTCATCAATGCTCTAACCAGATGTATTTAACAAAATTTAAATTATGTAACAGTCTTAGCTCAGCACCTGAAGATTGCATTGTGCATGAAACTCTGAGTTGTGCTACCGGTGAGGAAAAATATGTATATTTATTAAAATATGTGTGTGCGTGTATGTATATTTTATATATAAAAGAGATCTATGACAAAGTGGGGAAAAGGTTTTGTGTGGTATGTATTGTCCCTTAAGACTTCATCAGGCTAAAGTGATGTTTATGTTGATGCAGAAAAGAGGACACTGAGAATTAAAAAATTTGATTGTGTTTAAATATGTTTTGGGGTATATAGTCTAGCCAATTTCATTTTTAGTTTCTTTTTGTTTTTTAAATTTTTCTTGCATTCATACAAGTGATTTCTTTTCTGCACTTTGTGTGTAAAGAGTGCCCAAATGATCTGTGGATCTGTACATTTGACTAATCTATTAGCCATTACAAAGGATTTTTTGTTTAACTGAAATGTGTGTCTTTTTTGGGTTTTTTTTTTTTTTAAATTTCTGGATAGTCAGCACATTGTGGCTGTATTGATAATTGATATTATTGAGAGTTAACTTCTTATACATAAATATAATGCATGTGTAAACTAATTTTTTTAAGCAAGTATTTGCCATCTGTCACTTGCATCCTGTTTTCCACCCAATATAACCAATTTCAAATTATTTTTTCTTCCCTCTTACAACAATAGCCATAAAGTAAAATCTTTGGCTATATTGTAAAAAGCTGAAAAAAAGATTTTCACCTAGGTTGCTTGGCATAAGATTTCTATTCAGTTTCTTGTTGACTGTTTTTAAAAATCCAAATTAAAAAATAACTCCAGATTATAAATTTATTAAACACTAGATCTGAATTTTTAACCAAGAATTTAAATCATTTTTAGTCTACAATACACAATTCTCTGCAATATCACAATGAGTTAAATTTAATTAGCATCTTTTTAGTATATAAATGCTATTCTGTTTTTAGTTGTGCTTTTAAAATAAATTTCACACATGAAAAGTTCATTTTTGCCTCTTTGATGTGGATTGACCAAAACCAATTTTTTACAAGAGCAAAAATATTGCAATTTAAGACTGTCTAGTTTCTATTGAAACATTCCACTACATTTTGTCATTTTTTTTTGTTTTTGTTTCATTATCTTTTAGATTCTTAAACTATTAAGATTATCATTTATTTCATGATACTTTTTATAAAAATTTCATAAAATTCCCTCCACTCATGTTTTTATATACTTATTTATACAAGTTATTGTTTAAGAATAACTACAAAGAAAAACTTTCAAGAATTCTTTCTCAATTCCTTTGTTATCTGGTCATAGGCTTTAACCAGCATGTCCCCATCATCAGTTGGGCCACTGATTTTTGTTATTTTGTTTTTTGTTTTTTTTTTAAAACTTCGTTCGACTATATAATAGGCTGGGTGCTTCTTAGCTAGAATCCTTTAAGCACAAATGAACAGGTACATTCTGCTTCTGCTGAACTGCTCAGGATGAAATTTGGCTGTTTTCTCTACAGCTACACTCAAGCACACCTTTCTGCTTGGTGGTTGAGACTTGTTAGCTTTTGGCCTGTATAACCAAATTATATTGATTGATTTTTGTCTATCTATGACTATTGATAAGGTTGCTAGCTTATGTCAGGTGAAGTCTTTACACCATCTTTCTGTTGCTCTTTCAAGCTTAGATTTTGATCAGATTATATTAGAAATTGCCATTGTTATGTTTAGGCTTAATTTCCACACCTTTGCTTTCAAAGGGGATTTAGTCTAGTGTGTGTGGCTTGACATTGTTGTACAATTCAAGGTGATCATGCTTTAATATTTGAATTTTATTGAAATTATACAATTGGAAGTATGGAAAATCTAGCATATAGTTATTTTCTTGTATATGAAATAATAATATATATTTATAAGAAGTTTATTTTGTTTTAGCCTCTTAAAACTATTTTTGTAAATGTCACATCAATTTTAGGATTCAAAAACAATCCTTTACCCCCACCCTCACACACAGAGTTGATAATTTAGATGTTGTTCACTTAAAATCAAAATTTATTTCCTAATAGGTTTTTCTGGTTTAAAGGAAGCCTTTTGTTTATTTTTCATAAGATTGAAATTTTTTTACAACATTATATAATTTATAAGTTATATATTTTTTTTTTTTTACTTGTTTGTTTGTATTACTTGTTTTTACATATATTCATCTCTAGGAATAAATACATTTTCAGATATTACCATCCTCATATCAACCTATTTCTTAGAAAACTATTCATTATTAATGCTCTGGAATTTATTATCCTTTTCATTTATTTTTCTTTTTATGAAATCAATTCTAGAAGAGAATTTTATCAACATGAAAATGATTGTGTTTTTATTGTAACTGATGTACCTTCTGCTTACCTATTGTGCCAACAGATGTACTTGTATCGCAAATCATCACGCTTGACATAAAACTGCCTGTCTAATATTGGTATATGACGTTTTCATTTCAGTATGTCACTCATCTAATGCCTCTGACTCTTTGCCAGCATTTCTCTTGTTACTACAACTAAGAAAATTAACACTGGTTGGTAGATATCTTCAGTAAAACTCATTCTTATTATGTTTGTCTATAAATTTACCATGATGGCTATGGCTGTTTGTAGACCAACCTTTGCTTTGCTCACTCAGCAGTTGCTCATTGTAAATCAATGTAGTCTGTCATCTCAACAGTGATAACCTTAATAAAATAGGTCCTTTTTTTTTACCCTGTAATCATATTATAGCTTTAAATACTTAAAATTGTTCATAATTTTTGGACATTATTAAAAATGTCTTTTTAAAAAAGAAATTCACTTGAAAAAGAAAAAAGAAACCATCTGATAAAACTCTTCTGATTCAGAATGTTTTTATAGCTAAGTTGTTATGAAACTCACCTTCAAGTTTAGTATAAAACCATTTCACAATATATACCAATTTCTATTTGTCCCGTAGTTTTGAGTTTGAAGTTTTGATATCTGTTAATGATCTATCATCTGGCTTCAAATTTTCTCAAAAAAAAAAAAAAAAAAAAAAAAAAAAAAAATTCATCCATTCCAGTTTCATCAAGTACAATAACTGTTGGATTATATATTGAATATAATTTAAAAAAAAAAAAAAAATCTTGATAAGTAAGGAATTTTTTGTGTGTGTTAAGAAAAGCCAGTAGTCTCTACTATTTGTTCTTGTCTAGTTGACCTTGCTCTGATATCTGAGACTTGGATGTAAGGTATGTTTGCACAGGCAAAACAAACAAGATGGCTTCTCTCTGGCTAGCTTGTTATTCTCTTTTTATTGTGCAAGCTGTTACATCCTGGAATTCTTGCTATTAGGTGTCAGGAAGCAAAGAGCTGGAACTTGAGAAGGTTAGTGACTGCCAATATTTTGAAAGCTCTATTCTGCTCACTTGCACTATCAAACATTTTACCATTTAGAAAGAGATTCAAACTCTTTGTGTTGGCTTTTTGCAAATTACAACAATATTAAGATAGTTTCTCATAAAAATAATTTATTTAACCTGAAAAGGGAAAGAGAGAAAATGAAATAGCTTTATATTTTCATAGTTTTTATTATTCCCTTTTTTGATTATTTACATTATTCTGACTATTGTCTTCAGCTTTGTCGCCATATTTATTACAACATTTCGGCCATTGTACACTTTCGGACTTCTGCAGGTGGTTGGTATGTCGAACTGAACCCATTATTTCGCTCACTGGATCTAACTAACGCCTTTATCCACTGTGCCATGTGGACACATGGCACAGTGGATAAAGGCGTTAGTTAGATCCAGTGACAGGACCCACAGAGTGTGAGTTCAATACCTGGCTAAGGCAGTGGAGAACTTTCAGAGGGAAATTAACAGGAGATAACTGAAAACTGAGATCCATTAAACATGGCATGTGGAACTAGAACAGTCTACCCCAGTGAGCGAAATAAATGGCTGAAACGTTGTAATAAATATGACGACAAGGATGAAGACAATAGTCTGAATAATGTACATAATACCTCATCTCAGAAATATAGACAGATCCCTTGTTTAATTATTACCAAAAAGTAACATAGAATAACCTGTGCTTTTAAAAGCAAAATGTATCTTAAACCAACATTATATATCCAAATTTGATATTGTCTGTACAATAAATATCTTGGAAAAGAATCCATTTTCTTAGTTATGCACATTTTTTTGAATAAATTTTCTTTTGTTTGCTTATAAAGAGGTTTGGCAACTGGTAACATTTTTTCATGAGACAAACAGGATTCAATAAGAACTTCTTTCACAGAAACCTGATGTGTTGAGGGCTTCATCTCAGTTTCTTTTGTGACAATCATAAAAGCATTGCATGAAGAATATTAAAACTGCCTAATAGGTTTTTCCTTAATGTTGGATATTTGTTTATAAAAATTTGTATTTTATTTGAAACTCTGCTCTTGTATATTTCTGTTATTTTTGTATTTGACTAAAGATTTGATCCGTTTGAATACCCCTCATCCCTTATCTTCTTCGAATAGAGTGCCAATATCCTAGTAACCATTATTTATAAGAAATCTGTTTGTGATCTGATGTTAAAGACAGTATCAAGTCTTTCAGGTCGAGACAACAGTCTGATGTTGTTCAGCTATTGATTTTCATTTGCATCCATCTGTTGGTCTCCAATGCCCAATTTTATTACTCCTACTTGATTGCTGACTTTGAGTTGAGGAGCTGTCCTATTGCCACTGAGTTCTTCCATCAATGGCTAGCCATGCAGAA